AAACCTCAAGAGTAGCCAAAGCAATTACTTTCATGCATTTTGATAAATCTTTTGTGATTTATTAAAGAGAGATCATGGGATATGTTGTATTCTTAGAATCAGAACACAGTTTTGTACTAATCTAGATAACGCATATACAGTCAAAAAATGTCATTTTGCAAAATTTGTGGCAGATGAGTTAGAGTACAGGGCAGCACTTCAATTTGCATCCAAGCTGAAACATGGTCGATCTCATTTCTCCCAAGTAAAGCAAGTACAGTATATTTATTTAGTGGCTAATACCCAGAAAGGAGGCAAGCTGGGACTGGATTGCATATTCTGCTATGCTAGAAATTATGTGCCTAAAGTACTAATGATTCAAGCGAATGTTATAATTTGAGATGCTGTAATTGTCAAAAGGAGATAGCTTGGAGGTCCACAGCTTCCTTCTTTACAAGAACCTGGCACTATGCCCTTCCATGCAGATTTTGTTTGCTTCTAAATTCTACTTCAGGTGGCAAAACCAGGAACAGCTTCAAACCACTGCCAAGATCTCAATAGTTTATCCTCGGTTATAAATTCAACTGCCTGCAAAATCAGGGTGCTTACAAAACTGATCAGCCCTTGCAGTGTCTGACACCACAGCCCTTGCCGGGGGAACCCCAAGGTGAATGTTTTTGCACAGTGTGAACCACATGAGAATACCAAGAAACAGGTATTATTAGATGTTCTGCACAAGCTTGTCCAGGTCTTAACAGGTTTATAGCAGGATGCTGCAGATATCTTGGTTTTGCTATGAGGCGTAGTGAAAGAATGAGGTTAATCCAGTGACACCTTCTGAAATGCAACTGAAGTCTATCCCTGGGCATCAGCTTGTATCTTCAATGGTTTTGGCAAGGGTGAAGGATGGCATCTTGAAAGAGTGATCCATTCTAGCTCTACTTTAGATTGCCCCTGGGAGCCACCTGTATCTTTCAGAGACTTGGTTAAACTAAAACCCTAAGTTTTCCATTTCTAAAATTTTATGAAATGTATTGCCTCACAGCACTGCCATTCACTGAAACACAAGCAAACCATGCTCCATGTTGATGCTTGTGAGATTGCTCTGTTACCCAGCAGTGTCAAGATCTGCAGCATAATTCAAAGACTGCTAAAGTTATCAATAGTAGTTCTCTCATTTGATATTAGCAGCTGGATTGACATGTCTGTTCTTGCTGCAATGCATAAAACATACTGCATTTCTGAACTACCTGCAAAACATTCTTTTCCAATTTCTATCCAGGAAACCAATAACCTTCCTGTAAAAACTGCAGCAAAAAAGAGAGGCAGATTTTTTTGTTTTTCTCTGCAAGGTACATGAATAACATTCTTACTTCAAAAATAGCAGTATCCTGTTCATAAATCTCAAGATTACATCTTTACTCTCCCCATACAGAAAATGACTCATGTTACTGAAAGACAGATGAGATTTTCTCCAGCCCAGGTTTGTAGAAAATATCTTTATCAGAATTATGTGGACAGGGCTTTGAGCAACCTGGTCTAGTGGAAGGTGTCCCTGCCCCTGGCAGGGGGGTTGGAACTAGACAATCTTTAAGCTCCCTTTCAACTCAAACCATTCTATGGATCTACGAATCTATGTCTCATCCTGTCCTCCAAGGGCTCTACCACTGTCTTAAATGAGAATAAGTTTTAGTTTACTGAAACTGTTAAGATTTGGGAGCCATATTCTTTCTAGACAAAAATACATAAAAATACATTAGGAGATACAGAATCTTTTTATTCTTTTCTCTGTAATCCTTTGTTGGCACAGCTTGTGAAGATAATACCACAGCGATAAGACTATACTGTGTAAATATATGCTGGTTTCATGTTTCTTTGTAAACATTATGTTGTTCTCTTTAATGTTGGGAATACATAGTGAACGTGAGGTCTCATGCATCATTCCTTACAGCTGTTGCACAGTCATTTATATATTTTTTTAAATTGCATTTTTACATTTCAGAAGCTGCTTTTGAGCAGCTTGCTCTGTTCCCAGACTGTCTGCTTGACAGATACTCCTGTGGCAGCTGCATCAGTTTCTCCTAGGCAGCAGTATGTCCTGAAAATGGCTGTCCATACATTATTATTCTTTTCTGGTAAAGCAGAACGCCTTTATTCAGACAGCAAACTCAGTTCAATTTTTTATAAATAACTAGCTAATAATAAAAAAATAACATTAACCTCTGTTCTTATACTGACTTCATATTCCTGTTCTTCAGGAGATGATACATGCTTGTAGCTCCGACTAAAACAGACTGCTTTTAATATAAAAAAATGAAGCACACCATAACCGATGTTAAACAGAGAAGAAATCTATGGATATATGATTCATAATAACAGGTAAGCTTTGCTAAGAGAGGCATTAGAAACAGAAGGACTACCAAATTTGAAAATTAAGCATCTGGAATAGAAGAAAGTTTCTGAAACAAAAAGGACAAATGAACAAGGTATGATAGCAATCAAAGAAGGACAAGCATGAGGTGAGGCTGTACAGGAGAACAAAAGAAAAGAGTAAAAAATAAGTGATAAAATACTGGAATAACTCAAGGACTTGCTGAGCACTACTGCAAATCTAGCCCCTTAGACCTTAATGGACCGGTTCATCATAAAACCTTGCCAAAACATCTGAAGGATTTATGGATTCACTTATTTAAAAAGCAGAAACCTACACAAAAATAACTTCACGCAAAATAAAAGAAGTGACTAGTCCAACTAAAGCATCGTAAATTTAATTGTCAGGTGTGAACACAAAGACAGCAAACTTTAAGAGAAAATAAATGTGTTTATTTTTAGCTTGAGTAGCTCAGCGACAGATAAGAGTGGTAAAATTCTCCATCTTAGTGTTCACTCCTGTTAATGGAATGGATGAATCCTTGGCAATAGAAAATTCTTAGTCTTCAAGTATGTCCAATACATTGACAGCATTACTATAAATTAATACATACAATTTATGTAACTATGTCACAGTTCAAGCACATAAGCATGCCAGTATTTCTACCATGGATCCACAGTCAAGATGCCATGAGGCTGGATTATGGAATAAGTAAAGAATATGATTTTTTTTTTATTTGTTGTGACAGGGACGATTTGAGACAATTCTTGAAAATAAGCATAAGCCAGTCTGTGAACTGGCAAATGAAATAAAAGACATCAGTTTGCTTAAATACATTTATTCTCTGCCACTTCATTATTCTTTACCACTAAATTTTACTTTGATATAAATCCACACAAACCATTAACATGCACGTAATGCTGTTCTGCTCCTATCCTAGGAAAAGGACTGTTTGTCTTAGATTAGCAGCATGCTGACATTCCCTCTACCTAAAAATTAATTTCTTAATGACAAACATACCTTTTAGGTTACCTTTTGTAAAAGAAATGATGCATCAAAGTAGCTGGTGATCCTAGCCAAAGATAGGCTTTTGGTTCCCAGTTCTGTATAAAATAAGATGTACAGCAATGTAGAACAAACTAGGGCAGCACTTAGACACACTAAGTGGCCCTGTTGATTCAGAATTCATAAATCATGGAATAGCAAGTTGGAAGGGGCCTCAAGGACCATGTGATCCAACTCATAGGCGAAGCATGACCTAGACTAGATGTCCCAGCACCCTGTGCAGACGAATCTTAAGCGTCCATTGTTTGGAAGTCTACCACTTCCCTAGGGAGTTTATTCCAATGTCTGATTGTTATTGTGAAAAATTTTCCTCTTGTGTCCAGTCAGAATCTCCCTGGGACTAACTTGTGTCCATTACCCCTTTTCCATGTAAACACTTGTAAAAAGAAAGTCTCCACGTTTAACTACTGGAACATGGTGATAAGGTCTCCCCTGAGACGCCTTTTTTCAAGGCCAAACCAACCCAGTTCTCTCATCCTTTCCTCATGCAGCTTCCCAGTCCTTCCATCATCTTTGTGGCCCTTCTCTGGATCCTGTCCAGGCTGTCCAAGTCTTTTCTGTACAAGGACCCAAACTGAACACAGTATTCCAGGTGTGGCCTGACAAGCGCCTGAGTGGGACAATGGCTTCTTTACCTCTGCTGGTGATGCCCTTGTTGATGCAACCCAACATCCTGTTGGCTTTCTTACCTAATGAATGACAAATTCCAACCCAACCTTGGCCAAAGTATGAAAGACTTCCTCTCTGCCAAAGACAAGTTTTTCATTGTGTTATCATGTGTACACTGAATGTGACTATCAAAGGTCTCTCACAGGGCTGCATATGCACCCAACTTTTGCCACCCTAACTATACCATAATAATTAACTTGGCGGTTTTATGATTAATTTCACTCTTTTATGTTTTTCAAGCCAACAAAACCCTAACTCCTGCCTCACTTTTAACCACCACCTCAGCCTTTAACCCACGTGATGGCAAAGACAGACCTCCACAGTGAAGTTTACCTTAGAGCGGAGGAGGCGAATACAGGTGCACACCTGGGCACCCACACACCGCCGCACACCTTCAAAGCCGTCCGGTTACCACAGAGGAGAGGGCAGGTGCCGAGCGGGAAGGCTGCGGCGGCTCCTGGCCCCCGGCTTCGTGGCAGAGGCTAGAAGGAGGCGTGAGGGGAAGGCGCCAGGGAGGGGAAGCAAATGGAGGTGAGAGGAGGCGACGGGAGGCGTGCAGCCCTGAAGGACCGACCGCTGGAAGCTCCCAACGCCCGGCTACAGTGTATGATCTGTCTGCGGGCACAGCGCTGACCTCAGCGCAGGCATTTCCGCTATCGCGCTCACAGCGGGCGGGGCAAGGCGGCGGGACGCTGCTCGGCGTTGGCGCCTGCTCGGTGCCCTGCAGAGAGTTCGGGGTGCCCCTGCAGGTGCCTGTTCTCCGCTTGGCGCTGCCGGCCGGGAGCCCGCTAGCACAGGAGCTGCGGAGCCCGGAGCGCTGGCGATGTCGGAGCGGGCTGCCGCGGAGAGCGCAGGGCGGGGATGCCGCGGCGGATGGCGGACAGGCGAACGCCTGACCCGCTACATCCGGGCTGCAGCTACGGGCACCTGCTGTGCCGGGGGCCTCGGGTGACATTGGGCCTCGGCAGCTGAAGGGATTGGACGGGCACTTGAATCTGGTAGAAAGGGAGATCTTCGCCTGCTGCCGCCATGTTTCGCGTTATCATCAGCCACGCCAAGAAGCACCCCAGCGTGAGTGCCCGGCGGCCGTGTCCCGGCGGGCCGCCCTCCGCGCCCTCCGCTCTCTCCCCTCCGCACCCCCCCGCACCCCCCCCGTCGTTGACCGGTGCTCACGGCCCTTCGGCTGCCCTTCTCGTTTGTCTATTTCCTTTCCCCTTGGATGCTTGGCCCCTCCGGGGGCTGACAGCGTGGGGGCAGCTCAGGGCTCGTCCGGGAGACACCGCCACGTCCTTCTTTTTTTTTTTTTTGGTGGTATATGTGGGTCCTTCTCGTAATGCATCAGCGACGGTCAAGGTGGCTCTGTCACTGATCTGCTCGCCTCTTACCTTATACTTCCCCACTCGCCATTTCGTTATGATCAGGGGTACAATAGCAGGGACTGTTTTGGACGGTGGAATGACTAATGTTTGTGCTTCAGGAATGTGCTGTTACAGGACGTTTGGTTGTCCTGCATGTAGCAGTATGTTTCCCGTGTCTCCCTCTTCATAGCTGCTAATCTCTCTCTGACCCCAGGCGTGTCCTGCACACAGGAAGCTTATGTCAGGGGTCTAGAGGGCTGTGCATTATGGCGCAAAGTATGTGAGCTTGCCCTTTGGTTTGTCACTGTGCTAGCTAGAAATGCTGGGTAATAATACTATTTGTTATATTCTGGTGTAACATTTTTGGTTTTTTCTTATAGTTGATCCCTCTGTTTTTGATCATCGGATCTGGAGGCGTTGGCGCAGGCCTGTATCTTTTGCGTTTGGCAATGTTCAACCCTGATGTCAGGTGTGTATAAAATAATTAACAGTGCCCAGTCCATTAGCTGCATATATTAAAGGAAACTTCACTGCTTTGGTTTTTATGTTTCTGGAGGCCTTAATGTTTTGCTGCAGTATCATTGGCACTAAGTGTGGGGATATTTCCTTGATTTGAAGATCTGTTTGTTGTATAATATTTAGAGACTGCTAACAAAGGAGTGCATCTTCTTCTGTGTAAGTGGACTTGGATGGGTGACACTCCATGGCCTAATAACCACATATGAATTTTATTTATTTTGAAGGTAGTTTGATTTTTCTTAATATATTCTCATATATTTCTCAATAGCTGGGACAAGACCAATAATCCAGAACCTTGGAACAAGCTGGCTCCCAGTGACCAGTACAAGGTAAACATAAAATCACTGCTTTAAGATGTTTGAGTATATTGGGAAGTAGCTGAATGAGTGATGTATTTCCTCTGCTGTGCAATGTTTGCTTGTCTGTAGAACTCCAAGCAGAGAGAACTGAGCTGTGAATTAAATTTTTTCTAGAGTTGGTTGGTAATGGGGTGAAATAATTCTGTATGGAAGCAGTTGTACATATTACACTGTGAGAAAAAGAGGAATCATATGTGAGAGGAAGAATGTATCAGCTCATAATACTCAGAAATAAACTATAGGGAGAAGGATAAAACCATGTAAGTTCTGAACTAAAGCTTTCTAAGCTTAAAACTGTTGGCCTTTACTCATGAGAAGCACAGCAGGAAAATGTCAGTGTGTAACATAAACACTGATTCAGTTCTACAGTTGATTGTTTGGAAACAAAACAGTTGTCTGTAAGTAACCGGATGCAATAGCAGTGTTCTTTAAGTAATCAAGTAATTTCCATGAACTAATGAGGAAGCATGCAAAGATGTGTAAAACATTTGGTAGTTTGCAGAAATTATGTTTTTATTAGATTTTTACTAAAGTGCTCTTTTATTAGGTTCCTGTTAAGAATAGTTAAGGATTATCTTTAAGCTATTAAAAAAGTAAACCTACAATATTTTCAAAGCTAGTGTCTGGTCAGTACTGTATCTTACCATTCCAACTGCTGAAATCGGCAAAAAAACCCCACTCCAAAATAAAGTACGTTGTGACTCCCCTTAAGGTCCAGGAGAACACGATACTGTTTTCATTGCTGTTTCTGGAATGTTACTGTTTCTTAAGTGTCTAAAAGAGGCAAATTTAACTTGGTGCACAGCACAAATTCTCTTAAAGCGTGCATGCCCTGTGTAGCATTCCTGTTCTCTCTTACCATGCAAACACAACCTTGGGGTTTACCATATTTGGGTGTGTGTGTATCATTGGGGATTTTTTTCTTCCATATCTGTACTGTGGGAAATGGAAAAGCAGATACTCTTAAACTGAGGATGACTGTTGAGTAAAAAGCTGTGCTACAAGTTTTAGTGTTTGGTGCAGTTTTTTTTTTGTAAACTTCTCTCAAGTTTACGAAAAAGACTGAGGAGGTGTGTCAACTTCCTCAGTCTTCCCAAAACAGAGTTGAAGATCTGATCATTACTGCAGGATTTTCACAGAAAGGTTTAATTTGAGTGTGCTGGAGGCTGTTTTGTTTTCTTTGAGGAAGTAAAAAGAAATACTACATTTGGTCATAACTAAAAATAATCAAGCTAATAGATAAATATTTCTTAATTTTTAAAGAAAAGCTGTAGTATCACGTGGCTGATGTCAAGTCAGTCTGGGATGCCAAAATATGCTTTTAGTCTGGAGACTCATTGTCCTCAGTGACTGCTTGGGCTGTTTTGAATTGCTACTGTAATGGGATCCAACTTTATTAATATGAACTGAGTGTGAAAGGATCTATTCTTACTTTCCTTCCTCCTTGTCATATCTTACAGTTCTGGATGCAGATGCTTAAACCAAACTTCTGCAGCAGTGCTCCAAAATGTTCACTTGTGATCTCATTGTGTACACCATTCTTTGTGCCATTTGGCAAGCAAGGTGGTGCTTCAGTATAAAGATTTGGGGGCACAAAAAATAAACTTAGCACTACTGTAAGAACTTCCCGTGAATGCGCTTTTAATTCTTGGGTTTAAACAAGAGATATACAGGTTTTTCTCTAGTTGTAGACACAAGCACTGCCTAACTTTAAATGCAGAGCTTCTAGTACTGTATGCAGAATGAAGATACTATTAAAATGTTACTGCTCGTCAAAGGTTTTATTTATTTATTATTGTTTAGTGTCCAGACTCAAACTATGATTTCAGCTTCCTGACGTGAGTTCAAATTATGTATGTTTTTTAGTAGATACTATAGAAAATGGATACTCACTTTTCCCCCCCTCTCTTTCCTAGTTCTACTCAGTTAACGTAGACTACAGTAGACTGAAAAAGGACCGTCCTGACTTCTGAACAGCACACTCATCTCCATAAGCTGCACAGAAAGGTCTTCCAAAAGTCATCCGCACAATTGTCATGCTTTATCATCCTGGAAATAATCAAACTTGCCTCACACTGCACTTAATCATGTGTTTGAAAGTTTTTGATGAGGCCTAATAAACGTCTGAAACTTGAAGTGTCTGCTCTTTAACTTTGCAAAATGAGAATATCCTCCTATTAACAGTTGGTAAGATCAAATAGTAAGCAAAAACTAATTTCTCAACAAGAAAGCAGAGTTGTCTTGGTGGGCTTTATACACAGTCTGTTGACTTCAGAGAAGTAGTTGCATGTCCATGCAGTACACCAGTCTGCAAGAATTTGAAAGCATGTATTTGTGTGTGCATATATAGGTATTTTTTTAGTTGTACCTGAATTTTTCTACTTTAAAAAGTTTTGGTAGCGAAAAAGCGCTAAGAAGTCATTGTCCAGCAGGGAGGCAAAAGATGTTGCCATATGTTGCTGGAGGAAAGGAGGGAAGCACCAAGTTGTGCAAAAGGCTTAGTTTCTTATATTTCTTTTTTCTGGTTTGTGGGTAGGTTGGTTGCCTTTTTTAAAGTTGTAAGCAATTTGTTAGGAAGACACTCTTGAACACTGGAAAAAATAAAATTCTAGGAACATATTCAAGATTCCCTGTGGATCCCACTTTTAAGAAAGGGAAACACACCCTAAGCAGAGCATGGGTACAGGATTTCAGAAATCAGATTTTCATGTAAGAACAAAAACAGCTTTTAGCAAGGGTGAATTCTCATATTTCAGTGCGTGCCTAGGTCTTGCAAGTCTGTAACTATCAGTAGATTCTTTGTGCTTTTCTGTGAGCATCTGATACCTTCTTGGGTAAGGGATATCATTCTGGACTATGACTGTACAGCTGTTCCTGTCTTGGTATGTTTCAGTCCACTTAAAAGTAGACTCTTGAGAATGCAGATAACCATAGCTGACGGATATATTAACAAACTGAGCAGCAACAGAAGAAAAACTATTCTGTAGTAATTGACAGCAAATTAACAGTATTTGCAGAGACTTCGTCTTTTATGTGAAAAAACCTTGTGTGCAATTGTATGTGGTGTCTTTGGTAGCAGTTCAGATCATCTTTGTTATATACCAAAATGGTAGATTTACTTGAAGTTTTCACTTGTTTGAGAGGCTTTCGTGGAGCCTGAAGAAGCAAATGAGCGTTATGACTGAGATGATGTTTACAGTGGTGGGTAAAGTCTGTAGTGTCCTTGGGGACTGTGGTTGCTATCCGAATATTTTGGGGAAGTAGATGGTTCTGTTGCAGTATTTCCTTTCTTTCCTTCGATTACAACTTAAAAGTGGTAATGGGCAATAGTCACTGTACTTGCCTAACGTAAAACTAGTAAGCATCATAAAAATTCTGTTTCTTTCTCAATTTTAATGCTTGAAATATTCAGTAATTTAAAAGGTTAAATAATTTCCAAAAGGAAACTGGGTCAGATGAAGAATGCCACATATTTTGTGTGACAGCAGCTTGTCCAACATTATTTTCATACAAACACACTACTATTTTTTAGTTCCATGGGACTAATTTCTCACTGCAGTATTTACAGTAAGTCTGTATTAAGTTATTCTGTGGGCAGAAATTCATCACTTGCCTAAATCTTCAGCTTTGGTATCTACAAGCATTGAAATTCATCAATATTATTGGTAGTATGACACTGTGTGTTCCTTAGATCCCTAGAAGTTCCACATTTTTTGATATAGTTAACTATAGTTGATCTGTCCTAGTGATCTGTTATTATTTCCTTAGTAGTTTGGGGGAGGGAGGTATTTGTTGGTTTGGTTTGGTTGGTTTAAACTTACAAATGCACTTTGTTAATCCCTGTTTCCTTTTTTGTTATTTCATAATTTCATAAAATTCCAGACCTGCAAGGTCTCAAATCCTTGCTTACCTTTTTCTATTCTGAGTTTTCCTTAGGGACAGAGGAACTATTTGTTCCATTTAAAACCAAAGCACATGCTTGGCCTTAGTTTATAACTGCTCACTAGCGGTCTCTCAGTATTCAGTACGTTTCTTTGCATTTTTGTAGTGTACTATTTCTGAAAGAGAACTGTTTCCACAGCTTGGCAATATTCCATCTATGTTAAAATATTCAAGCATCTTTAAAGCTTCTTTAAAGCCATCTTCTAACTAACTCTTTCTTCTCCATGAAGTCAAAGATGATATTCCCTGCAGGCATCATGAAGTGATTGCAGTTTAGATTTTTATTAGTTTAGCTTTTAATGTTCATCTTTGGCTGTTAACTTTTATAAAACAACTAAATCCCAAACTGAGGTCCTTCATTAACACTGTGATCTGTAATTTTGCTCAAAATGATGTTCTGTTACCTTAAAAAGGCCAATACTCTGCTGTCTGTGTTTTGGCCAAGATAGATACAGCTGCTAACCTCAAGTTTGTGTCAGGTTTATTTTGAATGATCAGTGTAGGCCTGGCCTGTGTGTCTTGTTAATGAGCCACAGACAGAAGATTTGTCTGTTATTTTTACAATACAGCATTTTGCCTGCCACTGTCAGATTATTCTGCACCTCCTTATCAGTGATCCTGAGATGCAGCAGGGTGACCAAATCTGAAATTAATTCTGCTCACCTAGGACAGAAAGAATTACAGGTTTCCATAGTTTTGGCACATGAACACACACTCTTGCAGCAAGTTGTAGTGTATTTCCTTTGGTTGTATTTTTAGTATAGCCAGTAAGTAGGATTTGTGTTATTTGCCCGCAGTGAGGAAAGTTCATTGTGAGTGTTAAATATCTCACTGCCTCTAAGAAATTAGAAGGGTGTGCCTGATATTAAAAATAATTTAAATTTTGCATAGCATTTCTAGGCAAATGTCATCTAAAGAAATAGATTTCAGATGTTTTCAAGCTCTGCTTTACCTTTAAAGATAGTTTGGTGTGTGACTATTGAATGACCTTTAAAACTAAGCAAATGTATGTTTAGTGCTGATTGGACTGTAATACTTTGTCAGAAAGAAAGGTTGAAAAGTTCTTAAAGGAATTTAAAAAGTATTTAGAACGGAAAATGAGTTCTAGGAAAAAAGAAAATAGATAGGTGCAAGTACATGCAAAGTTATTGTCATTGGCCAGCCTTATTATGAAAGCAATTGTATGAGCTAGAAAATTTCTCCAAGACAAAGTGAAGCACAGCAGGTCTATGAGAACTCAAAAAAAAAAAAAAAAAATTAATAGGAGTTCACTTGCATCATTGCCATAATAAGAGTTTTTTTTAAATATATATTACTTAACAGAGAAGCTTACTCTTTAGACCTCTCTGTTGCAAGCTGCCTTAATGCTTTTCTGATTTCACGATCAGTCCGCTTTTCCTTGGAAGTGGTCTTGGCATCACTATTTATTCATGAGATGTTCATATGAAGCTCAGATCGTTTCATCTCCTCCTCTGATTTCTAAGATTATTAAGAGTGCCTCTGGATACCACTATGATGGCATGTTTCCCAAATGTGTGTTAATTCTGGTGCCTTCCAACTGATGATGAACTTCTGGTGTTTTTTTCTAATTTCATAATTTTATTATCTATGGTTGGTATCTTGCTTTCTTAGCAAGAATAACATGAGCCAGTAGAATGTGAAAAAATACAGTTTCATTCATAAGAAGCAAGTCTGGTTTTAGCATCTAGAGTAGCATTTATCTAAACCACAAGAGTTATACATTTTTTTCTTTTTCCTTTTCTAAAGAGTCATGTAAATGAAACTAACAGGTAATTTTTAGATGTTTTAAGCTAATGTCATTCAAACAGTTACAAGCTGAAGAGCCTATGATATCACTGCATTTTGAGTTGCATGGGTTGGGGTTTTTTTCTTTTATTTTCAGTCAGAATCAGTATTACTTTAGGTAATGTGAAATGAAAATTTAAGTATTCAAGTCAAGGCAAGAACAAAACATTTAGACTTTTGATAGTTCGCTATCAGTATTTACCTGCCATTCATTTACTACAGAACTGATACAAGACTCACATGTGAAACTCCATCAAGAGACCGCAGGTTCTGAACATGATTGTAAAATAGTTTATTATCACATGGCAATGCATACATTACAAAGGAGAATAGAAATTGTGCTGGTAATAGTCATGACTACTGGCAATGCTTTATAACATAGACACCTCAAATAATATTTCTAGGATCATTAATTTGAATTACTTTGGACAAAATAATGCACTACGCCATTTACAGTTCATCACTATAATGTAAAGACAACTTTACAAGAGAACTGCACAAGGCATAACCCAATAGGCAAATTTATAGACTTGTTTTTTTCATGTCGAAGCAAACTAACTATGAACATGAAATGTTTTCTAATTTTGCTTTCCCTACTGCAGGCAAATGAAACAGACTGCTGAGAAGGTAATGAAAACAGATTACTTAATGGTGAAAAATCTGAGTGCCATTTTTCTCTACCAGTGGTGCCACTGCTGGAATTTAATGGGGTGGCACCAGTGTGTCTGAATGAAGATTTTGGTCCTAGCTGTTTAAAATGGGGTTGAATCTAATAAGATTTCCTCAGTACTGATAACATTTTTTTTTTTTTTCCCCTAGACTGAGAGCAGGAAGGTAGCAGGACTCATTATCACCAGGAATAAAACAGATTTTCATCCCAATTTCAGACTTCCTACTCTAGTATCACATCTCATGATAGTCTATGGGATTTTGATAGAGGGTTCAGGGGATAATCTCCTTCTTGTCTTCATAATGTGTCAAACATTTAACTTCGTAGCATTTCCGAAGTTTAGGGGAGGAAAATTCATCCCAGCAAGAGAGACAATGTGCTTAAAATTACCAGGGATCAGTTACTGAAGTGGTTTTCTGCACATGCAGATCATACCTCTCCCTCCCCTTAATAAAAGCCCAGGTAAATTCAGAAATTATTCCAGGAAAAAAAAAAAAAAAAAAAAAAGGAGTAATATACATTTGACTGAAGAGGCAGATGGAGCTGAATCACTTTTTACATCCATTGCACCAAGTTTTTCATTTTGGTGCAGGAGCTTTCTCTGTCTATGTCCATCAGTTTCTACATGTATTTAAGAAATGCAGGAGTTCTTCATCACCCATACCGTGACTGCTTGGCCTATTAGGATGCAGTGAGAATTAGGTTGAGAATAAAAACA